TTTGCGCTTCCGATGCAACCGGCGCAATAAGTCCGAGCTCTCCAGATCAGCATCAGGATTAGCATTCGTATGCTCCTGCCAAAAGCCTGCAGCGATGTCACAAACCATCCGGTCAGAAACCTGGGGGGCGCATTGCAAACAATTGTCAAGTATAGCTGCCTACGACAGACCAACCAATATCGAATCCCAAAGACCCATAAACCGTGAACCCTAAACCCAAATCGAGAAGTGTACCAATCAAAACCCAAAGCCGAAACCCCAAACCCTAACCCGGGCCCTAAGCCTAAACCCAAAACTCGATCCAAACCCTAAACCCAAACCCTAAGAATAAGCCCGATCGATCTATTATTCGTGCTCCGCCACGCCAGCAGCACTTGCCCGTGCCAAGGCATTTGCAGCTGGTCCAGCGTGGACTCGATCTCGATTCTCAGTACCTGCCGCTGCGCCGCTGTGGCGTTGGTTGATCTTTGGGCGGATTATGACAGCTTAAGCCTTCTGGAAATTCGAAGCTTCGTGGCTATAGAGGTTTTATGTACACAACATATTTATGATCAGGAGATGTATAATAGAGAGACGAGAGAGTGAGCTAGGGAGAGGGAGAGGGAGAGAGAGAGAGAGAGAGAGAGAGAGAGAGAGAGGAGAGAGAGAGAGAGAGAGAGAGAGAGAGAGAGGGGGAGAAACGGGACACAGGTTAAGGACGCAGATGGGTAGCGAAACGGGTAAGCATCGGTCACCTAAAATTTAGGTGACCCAAATAAACACTCAGAGTCGGTCACCTAAAATTTAGGTGACCCAAATAAACACTCAGAGAGAGACAGAGAGAGAGAGAGAGAGAGAGAGAGAGAGAGAGAGAGCGAGAGAAAAGATCAGAGAGGAGAGAGAAAGAGAGACAGAGATAGAGAAGAACGATCGAGAAAGAGAATGGGGGACGGAGAGGGATAGGTGGGAAGAGAGAGAGAGAGAGAGAGAGAGAGGGAGAGCAACGTCAATTTGGTGAATCAGATTGAAAAGCACGGTAACCACACATGGATCGTTCAATGTATATACATAAGGCAAAGGCCATTCATGATCTGCAGGCATGTTCATGCAGTCGAGGCAGAAAACCTACAATGATTGCATTTATGAAGTTGAAGCCTTTGGGCTAAGGGGACTTTCTAGTTTAATGCAGATTTGTGTTAGGACCATCCTTGGGAGGCCTTTGGGGTTCTGGGCGGTGTGTCAAAGGAAGAGCTTCGGTTATTGCAAGATCGTAGCCAGACTTCTGAAGCGTAGCTTTTTGGTATGACTCCCGGCTAATCTTCGGGAGTTTGGAGTTTGGGGACTCTATATACTTTCAGCCTAGAGATCGGCCGTCTTAATGCATAGCGATTGCATGGGGACTTCCGGCTTAGCTTCGGTATACATGCGGGCAGATTAAGCTTAATGGTTCAGCTTGTGAACGATGTTCCGCTACTGATCGCAAGACCTCGATAGGGGCTCAGGTTGTGTATGATCATATTTTTACGGGGTAAGGTAATTCGGAGCCTTGGGTCCCTCAGGATTAGGGCTTATTATGGTCACTATATAGCACAGGCCACAGCTTTGCATCTCGATCTGCAGCGGCGCGACTCTAGGCCCTGCGTCCGAGAGAGCCCCGAATTGAACTCGCAGTGCGCAGCCGACCCCTTCCTGGAATCACAAATTGAGCTACGTTCTGTGCCTAAATAGGGTTTAGGGTTTAGGGTAGTATGGGGGGTTCGATTGCGCACACGGAACCCAGACCGACACTTCACGGCCAAACCTTGCACTGCATCGAGTTTAACACAGTGCGAACTGAAGCAGAACTTCATGCCTTCCAGCAAGTGAGCATCATGATCTGCATAAGTTGACGTTTGGAGCTTAGGGGTTCAGAGAGAACTGCAAATCTCATATCCCTAGATCAATAGCTCACTTACGATTGTTTTTGCCCTTAGCCTTAGCCTTTGCTTTGCAAACCGGCTTGGCTTTTGCCTTAGCCTTCGGCTTCGGCACTGGCTCCTCGCCTTCTTCAGATTCCTCCCCCTCAAGATCATCATCATCATCATGCTCATTTCCCGGTGCGACACGCCTTGTGCGCTTGGGATTCGCCTTTGCCTTTGCTTTGCCAGCAGCCTTGCGAAGATAAAGCCTCGGTAGTACATATGTGCGAATCACGACTCAACACCCACACTCTGTTATGTATGAGCATACAGAAATAATACGACCAGGACCGTCTGACTTTGTTCTCCTCCATGACCATCTTGCTGCACCTTGGTTGGGTGGCATCCGAGGTTCCTCGATCTATTCGCTGGCGGACGATTGCGGCCAGCACATGATGCATCATGGAGGCTGGGCACAGGCGCATGCATAAGTTCCGACAGGGCGCTCGACTTCCACTTCGCTGAACTTGCGCTTCAAGCTAGTGGCTGCCCTAGGATATGAGATTTAAAGCACAATCAAAAAACTTTGCTTGCATTTGCTTGGTGCTGCCTGGTAGCTCCTGATCCTTCTTGACCGTAAAGTTCGCCTTTATATCAGCGATTTCATCGTGAAGTGTCATAAGTTTGTTTGCGTGCTGCTCGAGCTTGGTCGTCCTTAGTTGGTTCGGTGGGTGTTAATTGAGGGAACGGGGTTCGCTCCAGGCATGTATATATATATATATATATATATATGTATAATACATATATGTCGGAGCACTCGCCATTGTCCTTCTGCACGGTATCCTTCACCTGGTCGACCAAGACCATCGCCCGGTTCTGGTTTTTAAGGATCTCCTTGAGGGTGTTGGCCACAGTGGACATGTCCTTCAACATGGGGTCAGATCTCGGGCTAAGGTTTGGGGTGAGATCTTAAAGTCTCGGGCTACGGGGGTTTAGGATTCTGGGGCTGTTGACTTAAGTTTGAAAGAATCCATAATCTAAGCCCTTTGTTCATGGTTGGTCCCAATGGATTCGGAGTTAAGACTTGGAGTTCGAATCTATATAAGAATACGGTGTGTGATGACCACTAGCTCGTCCTCCTCAGCTTCGGTCGCAGCATTCCTAGCATCCTTCTCCTTTCGTTTCCGCAAAGCTTTGCTCTGCTTGGATTTACTGTCGGTTCCCTCCTCCTTGCCCTCCTCTTCCTCGCTGCCTTCCTCCTGATCCTCGTAGTACGCTTCCTCGTCGTCTGGCAGAAACGGCTGTGGGCTCTTGCCTACCAGCGGCGCCGGCAACGGCATTTCAACGTCCCTGACTTCGAAGCGCCTGATGGTGGTCTCTGACATAGTTCTCGTGATCTCACCCGTTGTCTTCGTGTCCACCCAATACTCCTTGACGTCCTTTTCGTATTTGTCGTAGTATCACGGTTCCCACATGTGCCCCGCGTAATTTATATATATAAGTCCCGATCGACCTTGTAAGGGCCTTGCGCCTCTCAGTAGTGGCCGTGCAATAGGCCTTCGCAGCGCGAATTCGCGCCCTGAGTCCCGGCCGACAATTGGAGGGTGGATATGTTCTAGTGTACATTAATTTGAGAGATTCCAAGGCACGGTGTCCACTCCAGCTGTTTGGCCATAGCACGTTCTGAGTACCACCCAGCTTCCACTTTGAGTTTCACATCCCGACGGGTCTCGATGATCAGCTCAGCCTTCTGCACGAAAGCCTCCTATAATGATTGGCACAGGATTCTGACGGCAGATGAATGATACTGGCCACTGCACAAATCACAAATTATATTGGCATACTTACTTGTGTAAGGGGTCCTTGTCGCCCTGGAGCTCCACCATGATTTGAAGTAGCTCGGTTCTAGCTGTTCCGCCCTTGCTCCACTGCTTCTTTACATCATCTGGCACCAGAACTTTAGGAGCCTTCTTGCCCTTATTCTTCGGGCAGCAAAGCCGGCGAAGGACCGCGTCGAACCTGGCGAGCGCCGCCGACGTGACAATGATCGGCTCCTGCTGGGTGTGGACTCGGGCCTTGACATGAAAGATGATAATATAGATGATGACGGGTGATGATATGGTGATGATGATGGAGATCGGTGTAGATGGTCGGTGACAACGATCAATGGCGGTGATTGTGGGGCGATCATGAAGACGATAACGGCTTGGCTGCATGACTGCTCGTATAGGAAGGAAAACAGAATCATGCTTTAAAGCCATGCTATAAAGCCACAATAAGTTTTGTGTTCAGAGATGTAGACGTCATGCAGACCCGTGCACTTCTACATGCCGCTCGTGTACCTACATATGTTAATATAACAAGCTTCCGTCCCATATGTCCATGTAAATTAAGGTTCTTAAGGTATACAGCACAAATACAATATGTTTTTCTCTAGAGCTGCCCATCCCTCATGCTTTCTCTAAGGGCTGGCTGTATGAATGTGTAGAAATACATATAGACCGGCACACACACAGACTATGTGCACATAGATAAACCCCTAAGCCCTAGACCCTAAACCCCTAAACCCCTAAACCCCTAAACCCCTAAACCCCTAAACCCCTAACCCCTAAACCCCTAAACCCTAAACCCTAAACCCCTAAACCCCTAAACCCCAAAACCCCAAAACCCCTAAACCCTGAACCCTAACCCCCTTATAACCCCCTAAACCCCTAAACCCCTAAACCCCTAACCCCTAAACCCCTAAACCCCTAAACCCCTAAACCCGCTATGCGACATATATACCAGCAGTAGATCGTGCAGTCGCAGAAAGTCTCGTTTAATTCATCTGTTAGCATACCAAATGACTAAGGTAAAGCTACTGCTACTCCCCTGCTCCTCCCAATCCTGCTACAGTACCTCGATCTACACTATACATGCAACTACTAGCGCTGCTATTGCGGCTGGGAGGGGTCAACCCCAAACATGGTGTAACCAGAGCCTGCTTACCTGACTTTCGGATTCTCGGGGCGTGGTGGGGAGTGAGCTTTCGGGATCCTTCCTCGAGTCCGGGAATATGGGGTGACATTAATAGTTGGGTTGGAACCTAAATATATTTGGTAGGAATTTTAGCTATATAGGCTACAGTCACACCAAACTGTTGTTTCAGTAGGCTCTTTCCAAGATGGGCTCAAAGCAAGAGATGTACAACGAGATCATCTCTATATATATATATATATATAGAACGGATCCTGTGACAAGTTTACCACCGAGAATGAAACTAAGTAATCCTAGGCCAAATGACCTGATACCCCGAGCCCCAAGCAACCCTACTATAGGATTTGAAGAAACATCGAGTCCTGTTCAACCGGGGGCTTGGCAGCCTCCTCCGGCTCGCTATCGTCGTCATCGTCACAATCCTTAGAATAGACAACTACATCGGGTTAGGGTTTAGGGTTTGGGGGTTTGCGGTTTAGGATTATAATAGTATAAGAGGAGGTTCCCGTGCGTTCGCCGATTGCGGCGGCTTCTCCTTCTCTGGCGGGGCTTCCCCGTCCTCGGCCGCACTATGTTATTTGATTTTGTAGGAGTTTGGGATTGGGCTTTACGCACGAGGGATTGAGCTTTAAGAATTCGCGGCAGGGCTCCGGATCCAGGGCAGTGGTCTCTTCCGTGGAAGTAGGCACTGGCTTTGCAGCCTCAAAGGGTTTTATAATTATAGCGAGATTGATATAGCAGTGCGCACGTACAAAGACGATCATTATTGAGGCGGGGCATGAGGCTTCTGACAGATTGCGCCTCGGCCCGAGGAGTTGCGATCTGCTGCGTCTGCGGGGGCTCGGACTTCACGGCCTGGAGGGCTTCGAAGGCGGCCTTCAAGCCAAAATCATCCTTGGCTGCTGGTTTGTGCACATGGGTTGGGGTCGGTTGTTTTATAATAGTTGTTGTGGTCTAATGCTATCAAGATTCTATTTCGAAGTCACTCATGTACTCATCGTGCTGAGCATCCGGATGCTGGGGCTCTGGGGTTGGGGATTCGGGCGGTGACCGTACAACCTGGGCATCCTGGGAAGATCGAAGCGCCTCGAAAGATCGTAGAGGGGTGGCAATCGGCCGAGCAGCCGGGGCCGGATCTGTTACAATCTTCGAGGGCTCCACGGGATCCCAAGGCCCCAATGGTGTCATATACGGATCTTCATCAGGCACTGTGTCGGTCAAGCAACTATCTTGGCCGGGGAGTTCATGAGCTTCGGCTGTACATGCTGTTGGCGTGGCCGGGCCTTGCAATACTGGTTCACCGGTTTCGGTGGCTTCGGTTGCTGGCCGTTCTACATTGCGAGTGGGCTCGGTTGGGCCTGTGCTGACAGGTTCAACCATGGGAGTGGGCTCGGCTGCGCCTGTGCTGACAGGTTCAACCATGGGAGTGGGCTCGGCTGCGCCTGTGCTGACAGGTTCAACCATTGGGGCCGGGGTTGGCACTGAAGGGCTTGGCACGTCAGTCTGGGCTTTGGCTTTCATAGATCGCAGATAAGCGAGCCTTTGTTCCGCGTCCTCACATAGCGCATGCAATGCAGGTATCGCAGCATGGTATGGATGTGCATATATTTATATATATATATATGCGTGGGATATCATACATGCAGCCGAAGTTCTGCTAGCTCGGAATCAAGGCTTGAAGGCTCTGTCTTGACTTTGGGCGCCATAGCTGTTCCCACAACAAAGTCTAGGCCAGCGTTCAACGAAGCACAGCTCCACAAATTGGAAAGCGCTGGGCGGGGCTTGGGCATTGTTAATGGCACTACACAAAGATAAAGATGCGTGTGCGATCGATCATACAAGCATCGGCGCAACACAAAAGCAGCGCAAAACGGCCTACGGGATTTTACGCCACTTTGCTTCGATTTTACGCCACTTTACGGGATTTTACGCCACCGCTGTTTTGGCTTAAAACGCAATAATAGCTATAATGCCGGCGCGAAACCGCACAAAGTGGCACAAAAAGCGCGAGTGCGCAAGTCAAGCTGGCACACTATTTTACGAAACCCATGATCCCATCACGGCACAGGATGGCACAGGCATAGGTGGCCAAAGCACACTTGCAAGTACACTTGCTATCAACATTCGCTCCCCTACTGCTGCTGGTGCTTGTTCAGGCTGACACAAAGGGTCTGGATACAGCGATAGGGGATGTCGGTGGTATGTAGATTTAAATGATATAGATATAGATATATACTAAATTAGATCGATAGATCCACATCGCTTAGAGGAGCAAGTATACGAGCTGCACGTGTGCTGTTGCTGCACCCCCACAGGTCGATCGTGAATTGTGCACAACTGCCTACGATAGGCTAGCAGGCTGCGGCTCAAAGGCCACATTGTTCACGTAGCTTTTGTCGCCAGGACGGGGGCAATGACAGGTTCCTATTGGATCGCAAATAATGCAAGACAGGGCCCATGTCGGCATCAATCCAGATATCCGTCATATCCAAGCCGGCAGATAGCGCATCCATATCGATTCGAAAAGGATCGGGTACCTGGGCAGGAATGGATGGATAAATATATATATATATATATATATATACATATACACACATGTGCAATCCAAGTATCGTAGAAATCAACCTTCCTGCGCTCATCGTTATGGGACAGGGCCTCAAAGAGCCTTAGGAACTGGAGGGCAAAGCCGAGCGGGTACTGCCTTGGATGCTCGACAGAGCGAAACTCTCCACACAAACGGGTAAGCATCGGTCACCTAAAATTTAGGTGACCCAAATAAACACTCAGAGTCGGTCACCTAAAATTTAGGTGACCCAAATAAACACTCAGAGTCGGTCACCTAAAATTTAGGTGACCCAAATAAACACTCAGAGAGAGAGAGAGAGAGAGAGAGAGAGAGAGAGAGAGAGAGAGAGAGAGAGAGAGAGAGAGAGAGAGAGAGAGAGAGAGAGAGAGTGAGGGATAGAGAGAGAGAGAGAGAGAGAAGTGAAAGTATGTTTCAATCGAATGAAGCTAAGAAACTCCGAACCTTTCAATCGCTTGTTGCCCGTAAAGCATTTGCGGCCGTTCTTGCCGATTGTCCGCCTGACCAGCTGCCTGCAATTCGCACGTTGCCTCTTTGTCAGGGGCCCAGCATCAAATCCCACCACCGAAGCGTCGTTGGAGTAGATGACGGTACGTTTGGGGGTAGGCCCCCCCCACTTGCGCATCCAAAACCCAACCTTGCGTACCTTAACTGAAAACCGTGTGCACCACTAGAAGCAACGATACGATCCCGCAATCCAAGTGGCAACCAGACATTGGCACAGTTGGCGAAAGCGTTTGTGTCGCGACATGATCGACTGGGACGGTTGTTCTAGCGTCCACGTAATTCTCAGTGCCGACATCAGGTGTGCAAGGAGGCAAAACCTCAGAGATCACTAGCAGGCTCTACCACACGCATGTATATGTAGCACGACGTGTATATGTTGCGTGCACATCTCGAGGGTCAGAGTTTAATTATTGGGTCTAAGTTAGGGGCTCACAGGGTCTTTCGAACACTGGCTATATTGCTGCTGTAGCACCGGGCGACCATCTTGTTTCCATCTGCAACCGAAGGGATACTTTCATCACCATGTGGGACTAAATAACTCCGCTTCGTACAGCCCCTCGACATGACAGTCCAGCTGCTGCATTGGAGGCCGAAGTGGGCAACGGATCGGGCCTTCATCTTCAGTATGCAGACAAGGAGCAGCCTGGGAAGCAGGCGTTGGGATGGCGTTTGGGTTCGAGGCATGCGCATAAAACCAGCAGCAGTGTGTATATAGGTGCAACTGAGAATCGCCATGCCGCTGGGGGTCAACATGTCGTAGGGGTTAGAGGAGCAGGGAGGTACCCAGCTGGGACGTTCGTCCCAGTATTTTATGTCCAAGCTGGCAACCGACTTTCCAGCATAACGAAGAATTCGGGTCAATCTTCCAGCCCCGGCGCAGACTTCAAGGGCGTCGAACTCCTAAGCCCGGAAAACTCAGCATGTATCCCTGGAAACGATTGCAAGCCCTCACTTTCCCGGAAGTCAGTCCTGAGTCAGGTCTACGTTCTGAGTTTGGCCCAACAGTAGGACAGCCAGCAGCAGAACCTGAAGAATCCGTGCATTTTAATTTGTGCTACAGCTTCAGGCAGCTACTGTAAGTTAATAGTTAAGGCAGTCTAGGCGCACCAGGCGCACCAACTCTCATGAGATGGTGCAGTATATACTGAAGTCGGCCCCATGCCATTGCCATATTCAATGACTGCTCTAACTTCAGGGTGCACTGCCTCTAGGATCAAAAGCTGCGGAGCACATGTAGTGCTGAACTTCCTGTGTGTATGCATTGGCTGCTCCCCTCAGCCCTGACACAGCCGACAACCGGAAGGGCGCACGAATCTTCACGAAACCTTTGCGGAGTTTCCAGGCCTTGCTCATGATGCCACCTGGCCAGGTGGCCGGTACACACACAGACACAATCAATCGTGGATATTGCAGTACACCCATCGATCCGATCTAGACTCGCAAAGGGCAAGATCGATTTTCTTTCTGATTTCTTGCTGCACTCAAGGGTCGACCCACAGCTCCTGCACTATGCTTCGCACTCTGTTAATTGCCTTTTCCATGACCTTATGTTGCTAGTGCGTAGGCGGTTTAGGGTTTAGGGCTTAGGGTTTGGGGTATAGCTAGGGGTTAGCATATATATATATATATATATGTGCGAACAGATATGTTCGTGTTGCAAAGCATGCATGCATGCGCATGTTGCGTACCGTAAATCAAACTAGTGTGTAAATCTGGAGCATGCGCATTTGTGTATATGCATGTGTGCACAAGGGGCTCGGTCATGAAAGGCTGTGTCCCCGGCATGCACAGGGTTTCCCATGCATGCTTCCCAAAATGCACCGAGTGCGCAAAGCATATGCCTATGAGTGTGGTCGGATTGGGACCCTCGCAACAAACGGTATTAATGTGTACGATAGCTGAATTTGTCATACAGCTCTCAATCCGAATCTTTCACGTATGCATGCCCACCTGCAGGGGTGGCCTGGCCTACCGGTCCGCAAAGTGAGCAGGGTTACACTTTCTGCAACCGTTGCGCCTATGGCGACACTTGCTACAGCCTCCGTGGGCAGGAGGAGAGGGGGGGCGGGTGGGAACACATGTTCGAGGCGTGCGCTTGTGGCCGCTTTCCTCGGCATTTGTCGTCTCAGCACGTGGGTTCTTCGAACCTTTGGCTTTCTTGACACTGGTAGCGACATCATCATTAACCGTCAGGTTGGACGTGGCCCTGCCACGCTTCACCGGCATAGGAGCCTCATCTGGACCGTCGGCTGCCGCAGCAGCTTTCTTCTTCGTTTTCTTTCCCGGCTCAACATCTGCCGGCTCATCATTCGCCTTCTTCTTCGTTTTCTTTCCCGCCGGCTCATTTGCCGACTCATCATTCGCCTTCTTCTTCGTTTTCTTTCCCGGCTCAGCATCTGCCGACTCATCATTCGCCTTCTTCTTTTTCGTTTTCTTCCCCGCCGGCTCAGCATGTGCCGGCTCATCATTCGCCTTTTTCTTCGTTTTCTTTCCCGCCGACTCAGCATTTGCCGACTCATCATTCGCCTTCTTGTTCTTCTTCGTTTTCTTCCCCGTCGGCTCAGCATCTGCCGGCTCATCATTCTCAAGACGCAACTTCTTCTTGCGGCCTTTCAGGGAGTCCCTGAGCTTCGCCTGCATGTCCGGCGTCACTGCCGATGGGTCCACCTGCATATTATATCCATGCATCCACGGAATACACAGAATCAGTAAGGCAATTTTAGGGTTTCAGGGATTAGGATTTAGGGGTGTTGAAACCTTTGGCCTTGGGCGGGGTGATCTCTGGCACATTCTTTGCTTTGGGTGGAGGGGTATCATCGATCTCAGAAGCATTCTTCCCGGCCGGAGGAGTCTCCAGGATGCCCTTGGATTTGGAAGACGGCAGCCCGCACAGAATCTCAGCGGCATCATACGTTTGGGTGTCCTGCTCATGCTGCCGAAGTCTGAGTTAAGAATATATCATTATCTTAGACTAATAGATGTTCAAGTGTGCATGCACGTATAAACACAAACACCCAGCTAGTGCATTCACATACTGCATGACCTGCCATTTGACTACATTTGACTATGTAGGTATATATACACGTAATTGTGTATATGAATGCGTGTGCATGTCTACATATGTATGTATGTGTATATATATAAGCATACACAAGTTTGTATGTTGACCCGTTCCTTTGTATGTTGAACCGTTCCTGTACTTGGATTAGTCACCTATCGTATGTGGGTGTGTATATATATATACATATACATGTCTATCTACACACACATGCACATTTAGCTTCATAAGTGTGCAGTTAGATGGGTAGAAAGGTAGATAGGCGGATACGTGCCTGGGAACTGGATAGACTAACAGATGGATCGAGGCATACACGGGCACATGGGTGGATATAGCTACATAGCCTATGGATAGACAGATTTATTGGTAGCTAGGTAGGTAGGTATAATATAGGTATAGCTACTATGGTAGGTAGGTAGGTATAGGTAGGTATTATAGGTATAGGTATAGGTAGATAAGTGCGGAAGTAAGTGTAAGAAGAGGCAATCAAGTAGGAAAAGCTATGTGGGACTTAATGGAGGTACATAGGTAGATAGATGAGTAGATAGATATAGGATGATATAGGCGGGTAGGTATAAACACATAGATCGAGTTTGACTGACCCATATGTGTGAAACACCTGGCGGTCCGGCTGCCTGTCTATCTGTAGCTGTCTATCTACCCGGCCATTATCTACTCATTGAAAAGGTGTCTACGTACATCTCTACAACCACATATGTATATATGCCTTACATCCTTTATTGTACTTTCTAGGACCCTGTCGATTCCTGTTCCACTCGCTTCTGCCTTAACCTATACTGCTAAACACTTGCTATCGTAATTCCCCATCCTCTAAAGTATTCAAACTTTAAGATCGACATTGGGCCGCGAGTCATTTGAGCTACGATCAAGAGCTCTGCGTCCTGATGGTCGGGATGCTTGAAGGTGCTGGAGCGACGTGGCTTCTGGGGCGGGCTGTCCTCTATCGGGATCGGTGTAGCTCCTTACGGTGTACGACGGGCCCATGATATTTATAAGGACTAGGAGATTAGCAAACCGGTGTCTCGAAATTCAAAGCTTAAACCTTATAATACTCGTGCAAAAAACTATAGCTGAAACCCTCAGGGGAACCCCCAGCTGCTGCGACAACTGGCTCGGAGACCCTCTTGGATTTCACCGGGTCGGAGCCTCGCCTGGGCGTGGTGATTCCCGTATGTAGTGCTACTCGGGGCTCTAGGGTTATATTTTCGACTGATGGGAATTCAAAAATAATGAGTGCCACCCAAAGTGCTGAATACCCAATTCGTTCTCCAATTCTTTGATCATATACATCTTCTCATAGAGTTCCCGCCGTTTGTCATCCAACCCTGAAGATGCCGCTGTGGGACTGCTGCGGATTGCATCGTGCAGCTCAGCTGGAGTGGGGCCCGAAGAGCCGGGATGCGCCGAAAGCACCTCGACTTCATCATCATCATCCATCTCCTCGTCACCCTTGTTCTCCCCTTCATGCCCATATTCCTCCCCGTCAATATCCTCCTCCTGTTCCTCGTCCTCTTCTTCGGCATCTTCCTCTGCATCTTCCTCCTCCTGTTCTTCATCACACTCATCCTCATCATCAGCGTCGAGTTCGTCCTCCTCTGGAAAGGGATGGCCCTTCAGGCGAGCCATTTCTCGGAAAATTTGTCGTACTTCCCAATCCTAAGTATATGCTTGAGTTTTGTGTGTGGGTGTTTGCGTATGTGGGGGTAGGAGGGCTGTTACAGTAGCTCCCCATAGAGCTTCACAACCTAGAAACGGCCTAAGCTAAGATAACACCTGTATAGAAACCCCAACTTTGACGTCGCAGTTATAATCAGCAATAAATATCTAACCCCGTGCTACAACAGCATAGGATCTCTGGGAGTCTGCTCACGGCGGTGGCAGTCCATGTAGCGTCGCCACGCAAAGCCGTACAAGCTTCTAAGGGACCAGGCATCAAGATAATCCCGCTTAAGGACCGGGTCTGGCACATAGCCGACATCGTGGAAAAGCTTTCGTACCTAGAGTGGCCCCCGTTAGTTCAGCCAACATAACAGCTTAAACATGGAAAGCTTGCGCTAGCTGTTTCAGCGGGCTTTTGATTGCCGATCGAGGTGCCTCTGCCTGCAAAGGGTCTATGAGAACCTTGCCCTGCTTGAAATGATGCACCATCGTGAGAATGATGCTGTAGTTCGCTTTCAAACCACGAACACACTGAAGGCATTCGTCACCTTCATCGGTCTTCGGAGTATGGATCCATGGGGCTCCGATGCGAAACCGCTTGCGAACCATGCGAACCTGTTCCAAGCTTTCGGCAAGTGAAGCCATCCCGAGCGACACTGTAGAGCATACACACTCGAAGCCGCAAAAGCTGCACCGAAATACAGCTAGTCGAGATGCATGTGCACGCACACCAGTGCACTCGGTCTGAAAGATTGACAGAAAAGCTAGGACACTTCTGCAATATTAAGCCGGCCTGGTCGATCGCGGCGCAGAAATCGTCCCACATCGGAGTGCCTGTCGCACGCAGGTGTTAACGTGGATAATTGTACGAAACCACCCAATGAAGCTGTGACACTCACGAGCAGAAGATCACGCCCTGCCAACCGAACATATGATCATCATGCTTGCCTCGGCGTGAGCCACTGCGCAAAGCCACCCACATAGCCACATCCTGCCAATTGGAATGCCTATAGTTATTCATTCCATGCTTAATGTTCGTTGTATTACTCACTCGAGCTCCGGTCGACAGTGCATATAGGGATGCAGTTAGACAGGCCGAAGCGGTTACAAAGACTTGCTGTGCAGTCCTCATGGATCAAGCTTGCCATAGCTCAGGAATTGGCGGCATGGTGCTGCCGATGAGCGCATTACTATACTAAATCAAACCGAAGCCCCAAAGCAAAGAACCATATGATTTTAAGTTTGTGCTGGCTGCCGTCTCAGGCATGCTGTGTATGCAAGCATTTTCAGTTTAGCGGCATTATGTCCATATACGAGTCTTCGATCCCTTAATACCGACCCGAAACTTGGAACCTTTATGTAGACCCGTGTATAAATCATACATGTGGAGATTTGCCACTAGAACTGATGGAGACATCTTAAGATGCCGCAAAAGCGGCGAGCACGTGGAAAGGCGGCTTGCTGAGCCTTGCAAATCGAAGCTTTCCGAAGCCCCCGCTTAAATTAAACTGTAGGCTTTAGGGGTGTGGTTCGAGCCTTTAACGATCGATTGTAGAGCATGATCCTCCGACTGTAAGACGATTGTCCTGCAAAGCTTCTACAACTGTACTTAGAAGCTGCCCCCACCCTGTAATAGTGGTATAATCGGAATATAATAGGGCCCTAATATAATCCTATATAATCCTTACAGTCACTATTACAGGGTGGGGGCAGCTTCTAAACCTGTACACGTACCGATCTTCGCAGGGTCTTAGGCCTGCAGATACGGGTCTACAAGAACGTACAGCAGAGCTTATAGTTTGATTACCTGCATGCAAACCCTATATTTCCTAACACAGATTTCAGGCGTGGGGCTCGAACACCCCGGGGCTCCCAAAGACGCAGTGGAGTTCGGCAGGGTTTTCGAGATTAACTCATGGTACGACTCGCTGATGTGTAAGTAAGTCTTGTTACAAGTCTTGTTGTGGAATCAGACAAACTGCTTATTTATGTACTTATTCCGAGATCTCTCAGATAGATAGATAGAGAGAGACAAATATATAGAAATATAGATATAGGTATAGATACAGATTTAAATATCTATAGATATATTGATACAGATCCAGATATCGATACCCTCAACTTCAACGAGCCTCAGAGCTCGGATAGAATCCCGGATTAGGGATTACAGGGTTCAGGGTTTAGGCCTAGGGTTTAGGATTTAGGGGCTTAAGGGTTTAGGGTTTATTAGGGAGGGTTCAGGGGTCAGGGATGATCCTTGTCTAGTATAGCGCCCCAAGCTTGTATCTTGAGGCCATCATGTTGAGTGAACTGGGAAGAACGAAACTGCGATACATAAAGATTGCTGCCTGTTTGCTATACCTTAAATGGGAGGTTCCGAAGTCCTGCTCACGCTATCTTTCTTAAACTACGAATTTAGATTCGGCTTGAAGATTGCAGGTCACGTGGATGATGGTACAAGGTTGTTTTCATCTAGTCTAGTGTGACTTATAATTGATAATTGTAATACTGGCTTTATTGTATATATATATATATATATAAAATGCTCGATCAGGAACCTTGAAGCCCGCGATGTTCCGACCCCGAGGAAGCCCGTTGCAATACTCTCTACCAAGCCAAAATCTATGTCTGAAACCCCCAGCTCCGAAACCCTAGAGCCCGAGTTCTCAATGTACCCTATAGCAATGATCTTCAAAGGCCGGAAAACTCAATTCGATCTTCAAAGTCCTGAATTCCGAATCCCGACACAAGCCTGAAATCCAGCCCGAAATTAGGCCTATATTTTAGAAGCTGCCCCCACCCTGTAATAGTGACCATAAGGATTATATTAATATTATATTAGGGCCCTATTATATTCCTATCATACCACTATTACAGGGTGGGGGCAGCTTCTAACCTATATTACGTTTGGGTTCAAGCCGCTCGCTCCTGTCTTATTTGGCTTATCTAGCATTAGGGCAGGTTTTTAGGGACTTTAGGGTTTTTTGATTCGCACTATCCGCAAGGTCGCCGCTCATTAATGGACAACTTGAGCCACTTGAGCCGCCTTAAAACAACACAAAACTGGTGTTTTTAGCTACTTCCTTTAAGTTGCTGCTTTTCGGGTCCGGTGGCACAATATTCCGCCACTTTGGCAAAGGCGCTGCTTATTTTAAAGTTGCAGGGTTTTCTTGGCAACTTTGGCGCCCCAGGTTGGAATCCATTCATCCTAATATGGCCTTCAGCCGCTTCCTTATTCGAGGATTCCGGGCAGAAGCGAATTAGTGTAGAGGAGTGTAGAGTGTAGAGGCTTCAGGACAACAGTGGGTCACGGAACAAGCTAATATCGAAGCAGCATCTCTCACAGTCATTGATATAACAGAAGCAGTAAGCAGTTCAAACCCGGCTGGGTTTCCATCTGGGATATTAGCATGCACGGAGTTTCTCAGTTCTGGGGGCAAAGTTTGTTCAGCAATTGGAACCCCTACCAAGGAAAGCAGACTATTTCGACCCCTGTATGAACTGCTTGATAGCCTGGAGAGAGAGTCTTCAAGATATGTGCTCACATGCTTTCTAAGGTCTCTCGTCGAAGGCGTCTTTGCAAAGACAAACCTGGGAGGCCTGTTGTGGGCGCTCTTCTGGTGATTGTTCTGCACTGCTGTAAACCAGGATTTAGTCCAGTCAAGTTAAGACATGTTACACTCACCAACCGGCCGCTGCAGTATCCAGATCGATCTTCGTAGAATCGAGACACGAAGCCAGCACAACCCACCTCAAAAGTATGTCTTTAACAGGAAAAGCAGTGACAGAGGAGGTAGCATGTTACTGTTAGTTCTTTCAAACAGTAACGACAGAAGCCAGGATAGAGCGGGGACAGTGCTTTCTGGTCATGTTTCCTGCATCCAGCTCCGAAGATGAGCAAGACACTGTCCGGCATCCGGCAGCCCAATGCCCGGACAGAGAGCAAGCTTCAGAGCCTCAGGCACGAGTGAATGCTGCAGCACAAGCTCCACAGGCAGGCCCGAGACCAAGACCGTTAAAAAAGGCTGGACTTTCGAAAGCTTGGGATGCTAAAGATGCAATCTTGCGTTCTTCTCTTGCAGAATCTGCAGAGCGACAAAGCTTCAAGGAGCTGCTCGGAAAGATTCAGAAGGAAGAAAACATAGAGGCTCGACTTTTCGTTTGGGAACGACTCTACGACGAGACTCCCACATACTGCTCGCAAGGGTACCTGCAGGAGGACACTGGCGAGATTGTATATATTCCCGAGACCGGAAAGATTATGGCCAGCAAACTGCGATGGGGCATGTGTCTGTACTTGAAGCCAGGGTTCCGAGAGGACCTTCCGCGGTATCACCTGGTGCATGGCACCCTGACCAGTCCATTGGTGGCAATGGAAAATCAGCAGGGCCCCATTGTGCGGAAAACCATCATGGACACGATGTCTTGGAGTGCAGAGGAGGCCCGAATGCTCGAGGTCTTCAAAAGGCAGATTGATCCTCACCTGTTTATGAGCAGACCGTTAGAACATCAGACATTATAACCGGGCTTCAACCAGGGGCAGCATGAACCCATTCAAATATTACAGACATAGATTGTTCCAGCCTCTCCTGCCTGGAACCGACAGACTGTGGGCATCTGAGGTGCTGCGACACACGGATTTGCACCGATCTGCCTTAGCAGCAGAGCGTTCCTTGGAGGTCGACACTGGAGTTCCATCGACATTGTTGCGGTGTTGCCTACACAGATATCGCACATCTGAGCAGAATGCACTTTCCGTGGATCCAGCGACAGAAAGCTTTTTGATCAATGCCACATTGGCATTTCGGCAAAAAGCCGGGTTCACGAGACTAGCAAGGGACCGAGTTATGAAGTTTGCTCTCCAGAAGTGCCGAGTGTATGCAGGAGAGCCACCTGCTGAAGTGAAGCGCTGGCGGGCCCAAATGGCCAGTGTCTTGTGGCCTCATGCTCCCAAGACCAAGGCCGAGGCCCGAAGAAAGTTCCTTTGGGACTATGTTTTGAATGGAGATGTCCGACTTGGGTCTGAGCTGCAACACTATTGCATTGGGCCCGATTGCTGCCCAAATGGAACCGAGAGCCTCCGCTTCAAGCTTCGACAGGCCTATGGACTGGAGGCCTTGTTCAGTCCTCCTCCCATCAACTTTCCACGAAGATCCTGGCAAGGGCAGCATGCTTCGAGCGCACACATGCTCCAGCTCTTTTGCTGTCACGGTTTGTTGTTGCACATGCCCTTCGAAAGTGACGTGCAGGAGTACCTGCATCGGTCCGATTCCCTGCAGAACCTCTATGTGGCAGTTCTAACCCTGACCCGAACGGATGAACTGAAAAGAGCCGCAGTGGATCGCTGTGGCAATGATTATGAGCACCAGCAGATGTGCAGGGAGTTGCCTAGACCGCACGACAAGAGTACGCCCGAGCATGCAGTTTATCCAGCTCAGACAGCCTTCCGAGCTTTGGACTTGCATCGTTTGTTGCAGTCTAGCAGTGAGGACTTCTGCCAGGGTCCAGAAGTTTTGTCCGAGTTATTCCCAGAAAGCAAGAGCATGCCCCTGGAACTGCTGCTCTACCGGATGACCACCCGGCTTCAAGGCTCCCTTTATTCCCTGGGCATCATCGAGCAGAGGGTATACCCATATGCATTCTTTGAGATCCTGGCAAGCAAAGCAG